AAAATTCTTTTACCAGCACAAAGAAATAATTTCTCAAAGTATTGCATATATGCTTGATATGACAATCAATATTATGCCATACTCGATTTATTTCACATGATATCATATTAAAAAATTCTTTAATATCATATTAAATTCACATTTGAATAGATAAAAAGAAGCTATATAATATAATTTATTATTGCTTTTGAGATATCCAAATAATACGTTTTGTATTCAATTTATAAAAATTTTATAAAACTAGCAGATAACAATAGGTACGTGTAAATTCCATTTGCTAGCGCCCCTTGTAACCTGGTGCTACGCGCCCCTTGTAACCTGGTGCTACGCGCCCTTTACTTAACAGAGTAAAGACGACTCTAGCTAGGGCATTAATCCTAATGAAACATTCTATTGCATCGAAATTTTATTAAAAATGCATTTTTAACTATATCTTTGGAAAGATTGTCTGTCTAGATTTTTCTGCAGCTTTTTATCTGTAAGTGCAGCCGGTAAACTTTTCCTAGTATGCTCCAAACCATTGACACTAGGTAAACTTAGCTTCAGGTTATTAACACGTAGTTTTAACCTAATTTTATGCTCTGATTAGACACCTTGTCATAAGAGAAGCACAAATTGCGTCACCTCCGCCGCCACTACGCCCACGCATCTATCCTATGAATATGGAATGAACAAAACTAAAATAACACATGCAAATTGTGAATCCCGACATGTCCCGCTCCGCCTTCAATACCTTAGTAAGTTTAATGAACTCATATCATGGAAGTGCTTCAATTTTATGATTTGCATGACTCGGAATGCAAATCATGGTGACGTTATGTTTGTTAAAATTTATAAATCAGTTGTTTAAACTTGTAATTGTAACTCTGAAGTGGAGATGGGCTGGGTACATTACCCGCAGAACGAAAGGCCGATGGGGCCGAAAAGTCCTGGAATGACGGCCACGGACAGGTCGACGCAGCGTGAGAAGGTCTCGCGCAAGATGGACCGATGATCTGATCAAGGTTACGGGAGTATCCTGGATGCAGGTAGCACAGGACTGATCATCGTGGCGATCTTTGGAGGAGGTCTTTACCCAGCAGTGGGCGTCATGTGGCTGAAGTAAATTAAAATTGTTATTAATTTGGTTTTGGTAACTGACCTCATGTTATGAATATGCTGGACTTGATATATCAGTAATATTTTGTGCCAATTTGATTTTTGGAATTTTGGCGCTGACAGCAGCGGTGAAGATCCACAGAAGTCATATTAGAGTTGGGACAATCTAAAAGTTGTATCGAAAATAACGAAGAAAATGATGAAAACGTCGATAAGAACTTAATAATCATCATCCACAACCCTATTACATTTTCCTGTTATATCAAAAGAGTGCCAAATAAGTTTTAGGGATATCGAAGTGGCGCTTCAAATCGGAATAAAACAGTCATTTTAACAATCATAGTTCAGCAAATCAAAATTGTTCTTGATTAACATCAGTTTTAACTTTGTAATATAGAGGGCTCTGAATAGTAATATTCGAAATTGTCGCAAAATGATTACACGTAAAGTTTGCATTATTAACTAGATGGCGTAGGCAAAAGTTTTAATGTGAAATGGATACACAGACAGTACACAGACTTTTCAAAAACGTAAAGACGGGTCATCGTGAACTTAATTTTTTCGGCGGTTTTCAGAACTGGTTCTTTCTCAGTTGTCAACTTTATTTGCTAAAATTGTAATTAGCTCCATCTCTTGTTTAATCATACTTCATACTTACAATATTACTAGTTGTCGCCCGCGAGTCTGTTCACTCGGAATAAAAAAATATTAGTAAGCTACGTCATCTTCCAGATTGTGTTCTAGATAGCGCTAGCTAATTCAACAAAAAAAAATCTTTGACAGATTTATTTGAGATACATTCATGATTATTCTTTAATTATCCATTAATAGCATTCGTAAGATAAATGCCACAGTTTGGATGGATGGATCTTTGTTACAAGATATCTCCGGAACGGATGCATGGATCACGCTGAAATTTTGTATATATGTAGAATACATAGGCTAGTTACTACTAAACTTTTTTTTACTCTAATCGTAGATGTTCTTGATGTCTATAGAACATTTTGTATTCTATACAAATAATTATTTCAGATGGCGTAATATCCTAAATATATTATTTTAAGACAACTATTATCATCTCTATAATGGTTAAGGGTACGGATTTCCGATCACGAGGGCGGGGGTTCGAATCCCGCCATTCGAATATTGTAATCCATATCCTAGCATAAGCTTAGTTGAAATGGTAAAAGAAATATTAGTAAATGTACAAAAAAAATCTGCTAATATTTTTATTTAAAAAAATAATATATATAAAATTTAATATTTTTGGTCGACGAAAACCGAGACAAAACTATTGTGTACCTATTTTTTCACTATGATAAACGGATTGAGAAAAGTCTTGAACTTTTAGGATAAGTGACATGAAAAAAGACATGAGAAAGATCAAAGTAAAAGTCATCAATAGATGGCGTACATTTGGAATAATTGTTGGTACATACAATGCTGCCTATGAAAAATATTTAAAAAAAAATTGTTAATGTTTAAAAATGTAATGATTAATAACATAATAATAATTTATATCAATACTTTATAATAATCGGAACTGTGTATTCCTTTTTATATTCCTCAAACCTTCAACGTCAAATTGTCTGACTGTAAGTTTACACTGCTGTGTCATTTGTTTTGGTACATATCGTTGTCTCTGTTTTATCATAGAGACTATGGGCGATGACAATATTTATCAAAACAAGTGACACTGCAGTGGAACCCCACAGTGATGGATTTTGCAGCTGCTGTTAGTTTCCATGGGTACGTCCATATGTAAAGTACCGGACGGTGTTTGAATTTTCCGATGATAATTTTGAGTATAAATCAATTATTAATTTGTCATATAAAAAGCCATAAAACCTTCTGCTAGAATATACATCAAATATAATTAAAAAAAAGTTATATTGGAAAAATATCTTTTACAACCAAGTGGTGATCAAAATCAGTTCCAGTCATCTGAATGAAACATGAATTGAAATATTGTAACATCGGTTTCTCGCTTCGTTAGCACAATGCTGACTATTCGCTTTCCTGCACTTTTCGGTAGCATTACTACAATGGTCTTGCTGAGATGACAGTTAAGAAGGAAAAGAGACGGCAACACCACAACCGTACTGATGCGTAGAACCGAAAGAAGGCAGCAGCGGCAACGAGCATAGTACACATCGATCCGCCCAATCCCCTCCGCCCCGCACTCGCCCGTCCCCCGCGTCAACCGCGGACACTTCACTCCGCTTCTTACTTTGCTCACTTCACGCCCTTTAACCTATGTATGAAACATAGTACTTATACATATTTGTTTAGCTTTCCTATTAACAAAATAATTTGGCAGCTGGTCCGGTGCGGCCGAAGTGGGCTCTGTACTCGGTGTTCGCGCGCTCTCTCGACGCTCGACGCTCGCTCTCGCACTAAGTTTGGGTCGTGCTGTGTCCGAGTGTGTGTGAGCCTCGAACCCCAAATTACGTGTTTTTGGAGTCGCGCGGTGCTCGGCGCTCGCTGTGTGCCTTTGTTATACACAATTATTGTTGTGACGCTGCATACGAAATAGTAGGCCAAGTTTATTGTTGTGACATTTGGACAATATATATATGACCTTCGCATGTGAGCCATCTAACGAGGCGTGACCAGGCTGCAGAGGCGAGTGTGTAGC